AGGACTAAGGATTGGGTCCTTACCCTCGGAGGCAGTGATGACTTGAGAGTGGAAGGATATAGCGATGCTAGCTTCCAGACTGATAGGGATAATTTCCGCTCTCAGTCAGGCTGGGTCTTTATCCTAAATGGAGGGGCAATTACTTGGAAAAGTTCCAAGCAGGAGACAGTAGCTGATTCTACTTGTGAATCAGAGTACATAGCAGCAAGTGAAGCAGCTAAGGAGGCGATATGGCTAAAGAACTTCATCGGAGACCTTGGAGTTGTACCAGCTATAAAAGAGCCAATGGAAATTTTCTGTGACAGCGAAAGTGCGGTTGCTTTGGCTAAGGAACCGAGAGATCACGGGAGATCTAGGCACATTGACAGAAAATACCATTTCATCAGACATCGAATAGAAGAAGGACTCCTCGTGGCTAAGAGGGTATCATCAGATGAGAACCCGGCAGATCCCCTCACGAAGGGACTGAGCAGGGTTAAGCATTTACAGCATGCGAGGCGCATTGGGCTGAAGGATGATATTAGTTTCAATAATTAGATTCCTGAAACTTGTAAAATGTAATTGACATTTGATGATAAATAAAAGTTGTTATTTATTTATGAGTAAGGTGTTACTATCTTGTGTTGATTGTTTACTATGTTTCAATTTTGCATGTTTTTACTTCCAGAATAATTATGTTATTATTCAAACCATCCACAGTCAGTCAAACTTTGGAAGTAAGTATTGATTTAAGACTGTCATGAATTTGGATTGTATGATTTGTCTGAAAGTGCTTTGGACAATGCAATGGTTGCTACAACATTCATGAGTACTCATAAGGGCTGAGTATTGGATCCAACCCACGCTCACTTGCATCACTTCATGGAATTTATCTCGAGTGATCGTGAGACGGTAATATCATATAAATCTTCAAACCTAGAGATATGAGTTGTTGACTATGAGTTGGTTATTCATTGATTGTACGAAAACGCATTGGTAACTCGATGTTATAAAACGTGCCTTTGTGAATAATTCAACAAGTAGTTAGTACAAGCATATCAGTCGAAGTTTATCTGTTCCTTCTAGAAATAGAAGCGATATCTGGGCCCCTCGATGATTTGGTTTTGACCTATGTATCGGGCCCGGTCAGAACCTAATTGATGTGTTCAATTTAGTTCTATGTCGAAACAAATCAGATATCGAGAAACAAATGTTGGACAATAAGTAAGACCATGTTCCATGTGTTTGTCCGGCTGATATCATGAGAACAGAGGATTATATGATCACTTATCTTAAATGGCGTATCATCATCATCTCAGTTCCGAGAGACTTTGAAAGAGCTACGATTGCTAGTCGGATTTTGAAGTCATATTTGCAAATATAGTTATTAGACTTATCCAAGTGGGAGACTGTTGGATATAGTGTCTAAGTCCATAACTTTATTTGGTATGTACTTGACCCGACCCGGCATGGTCCATTTGGGTTGCATGGCATTGCAATACTTGGATAGACTAAATGAGAGAATAAGGCACTTATGATTATTAATATATTATAAGTTCTAATATATTAATAATAGTATTATTTAATTAGTATTGATCAAGTATTAATCTAGTATTAATTTGGTGATCAAAGTAAGACTAATTAAATATATAGGGTTGATTATGACAATCATCATTCTTTTATGGTGGATTAATGATCCATGGTTTATGGGTTTGGTTATAACCATATGGAGCTCCATGGATAGTCCATGGGAGTTACAAACCCATGGGTCATGGGAAATCAAGAGTCATGACAATTAAGGGCATTCATGTGTAAACCCTAATTGTGACAACACTATAAAAGAAACCCTATGGCTAGCAAAATCATGACCTAGTGTTACTAGAGAGGGCATAACCGATTTTGAGTGCTAGAAGTATTCTCTCAAGTTATTCCAAGTCTTGTGGTGTTGTGTGAAGCATTTGAGGCACAACATTTGGGGTGCTAGGCTCACAAAGTCTTGAAGGAATCCAAGCAACAACAAGGTATGTATTTCTACTAGTTTTTTATGTTTTATGTAATCCCCATGCCATGCTAGTTAGGAAATAACCTTGAAAAAGAAATTTGCATGTATATAGAGAAAACATAGATTCAAGGTTATTAGGGTTGCATGTACACTTAGGAAGTGTTAGAATGCTCAAAAACCCATCACTAATAGTGTTGATAAATCATGCTTGTGGCATTGTCGCTTAGGCCATATCAGTAAGAAGAGCATCGCCAAGCTCCAGTCAAAAGGAATCTTGGAATCATTTGATCTTTAATCGGATGATATATGCAAATCTTTTTTGCTAGGTAAGATGACAAAGTCATCATTCCCAGGAACTTGTGAAAGAGATGAAAGATTGTTGGATCTTATACATACAGATGTGTGTGAACCCTTCAGATCCACCACAAGGGATGGTAAACACTACTGCATTACATTTACTAGTGATTTCAGTAGATATGGTTATATTTATCAGACTAAACATAAGTCAGAAACCTTCGAAAAGTTTAAAAAGTTTCAGAATGAAGTACATAATCAATTGGGCTAAAAGATAAAGGTTATCCAATCCGATAGGGGAGGTGAATATCTTAGTATCGAGTTATACGATCATCTTAAGAATTATGGAATAGTATCATAGTTAGCTCCTCCAAGAACACCTTAATTGAATGATGTTTCTAAAAGGAGAAATCGGACCTTATTGAGACAACTGATCATATCCTAAACCTTGTACCAACAGAGAGGGTCTTAAAGACACCTCATGAAATCTGGACAGGAAAAGTTCATTCGCTTAATCACATTAAGATATGAGCTGTGAGGTTTTTGTTCGTCGCGATACCAAAGATAAACTTGAATACATATATGAGAGATGTCACTCTGTCTGTTATCCACAAAAGTCTTTTGGATATTTGTTTACATACCCATTAAAAACATGGTGTTTGTAGCTCAAAAAATAGTGTTCCTTGAGAGAGAACTTATATCTCAAGAGGTTAGTGATATTCTAATTGACCTTGAGGAACTACAATAGTCAACCGAAAGTGAGCCTATATTTGGTAATAGCTCTCAACCAGAGGTTGAAAGACCTGTTGAACCAAATGACATATCCTTTCCTCTTCGCAAATCTAGTAGAGTTAGGCAGTGACCCGAGTGTTATGGTTTCCATATAATTATGAATGGGGACACGTTGATCATTGTGAGATCCATTATCGAGATTGATTAATAGAAGACAAAGAACAAAAGCTTTATCACAATTGTTTTTCACTAAGAAATTTATCGCAAAGAGAACAAGCACAAAGCTAGGGTTCATGAATTGGTTGAATTACAAGAACCCTGAATACATGGTTTTATAGTAAAAACTAGTCGGTATAAATCCCTACAAATCTAAGTAAATACATAGTATACCTGATATCCGGAAGATTTTGGATCTGCTATCTAACTATTTATGCATATATCTTCAAAACAACATCACACTGATACTGGTTATGTCGATTAAGTCTTCACGCTAGTGCTGGTGAGACACTAGTGCTGATGGAGGCTAGTGTGACCTAGTTTTACTTCATCATTTTCTAAGGTTTGACCTTACAATCTACCCCAATCTGATGATGTCAAAACCGTTACTCTTCTTCATAGGGTCGATTGTAGAATCCGTCGACTTCGTCTTGTATTTTCGGCTTGATCCAATCATAATCAGGAATCCCCATATCTTCCTTTCTATTGTTTAGATCCAGTGAAATCATGAAATTATAATTGTATTTGAGTTCTTTGTGTCCCATACACTCGAGCCTTAGATGAAACAAATGCTCAATGGGAACCTTGGCAAGATAATCTGAGTGCTGGAAGCACATACGTTGTGATTCATCCATGTAGAAAATGTCATGCTGGGGTTTATGAATGAACAAGTGTTGAACTAGATCAATACCTACTGACAAAGAGTTGTCAATCACATTAGTGCCATAAGGAAGAAGGAATTTGACTATGTAATAAGTTCTCTTTTTAGGCACTGAAGCAGACGCTGAGGATGAGGAAGGTTTAGTAGGAGTCTTTGGCACTAAGTAAAGACCCTTCACCTTTGCAAAAGTTTTTGTAGTACAAGTCTCAACTCCTTAACATATTTCCCTTTCTGATTTTTAACAAACTCCATAAGCGGCAACCACTCGCTGTACCTGAAGTTCACCAATCCTGGGCAAACAATACTTCACAGTATTGGCCTGCAACTTAACCCTTATCCCCACATCTTGTGAGATGTATTGTAAGTACTTTTTCATCTTTTAGTTTAGTGTAACTTAATTTTATGATTGGGTCGGAGTCGTTTCTACTTGATAGAACATCTCTAAACCTTGTCTGCTCAATTTTAGTAATTGGTATTTCCCCGAACAAAATTTTCCTTTGACATCAACGTGTTAAACCCGTTCAAGTGTTCAATATGATCATTCATCGTTCCAGTGGCAACCAAGCTTTTATGAATCTTCTTGGAGTCTTTCCTGGCAATTTTCTGATTTCTAGTATGAATATTATGTTGCCTGGCATACTTCCTGCCCTCTTGAATAGATACACTCCATAATTTTTCCATTTCAGCCACCATAGGATTTTTGCATTTCTTCTTGAAAGGACCAGCAATTTGGCTTATCCTTTCATGCCCAGTGAAACATCTTCTTTGAACTCGATGTCACTGGGCTCCCCTTGTGGGATTTGCTACCCCTTGGCATTAACTTCAACATCTGGAAACACTTTCTGAAGAGGCTTCACATCAATAAATGACAAGTCCATGTGATAGACTTCAGGATCTACATCAGACTGATTAGCATTAGTCTCTTCAACGTCAATGTTATCGACATTCACTACAATCTCTTTAGCGTCAGTAGCAGTATGGGCTCTGATGGAATCCTTTGTAAGATTCTCCCCCTTTTGGCATCATCAGCTTGGGTGGGAGACCCGATGGTAAGCTCGTGAGTTTGGTTATGAAAAAAGGATAAGTTAGAGGAGTATCAAAAGGAGGTGGCAAATTTTATGGTCGAGGACCAGTAGGTGGAGGTGGAGGAGGAATGTTGGTGTTATTTATGTCTAGTGGTGAGACACTGGTAGGACCAGGTGGTGGTTGTTGGTCATTATCTGGTGGTCGCTGAGGCCCATCATCCTCAAAATGTTCAATGTTAGTGTCCGAAAGTAATCGCTTGATTTCGGAAACATTACTCTCTATCGTTGTCAGACACTGACTCATGTTTGTAGTAAGTTGTACCAAAGAATCCAAGGTTGTGACTACATTCTCTTGGAATTCTTTAAACAACGCAAAAGGTTTCCTCAGTCGATATTACTCCCCCTAAACAGTTGCTGGATTTGTAAGAAACTCTTGAAGTGTGAAACACTATTCAAGCTGAGATAGAGGAGTGGGAGCATGCTGGATTTTTTGATCTTGTGGAGGAGGAGTGAGAGTTAGGGATGTAGTACCTCGGTTCTATAGAGGAGTCTCAGAGACATGATCAATGTCTTAATCATCATTATTACATGTTAGAGAAGGATTTGGGGAAACATGTTCTTATTCATCTTCCGTGGATGGTGAAGACTCGAATCGAATATGTGTGCTTGGGAAATTGGATTCGGCCTCATCGAAGGTGTACGTATGCTCTGGAATTTCTTGACCCTGGTCAACAAGGACCATATTCGTGTCATCACTGTTATACACATAGTCACTACCAACATCATCATCCTTTTTATCAGCGTCTACATCCTTATAGGGCTAAAAATTATGCTCAGCAACAACATGTGGGTCTTCAATTTTTTGTTTTTCGGACACGCTGGCTGCATCATCTATTTCCTCCCTTCGGAGGAACTTTTGGAGTGACATATGGTAATCTTTCACACTCATGAGGGGCTTCGATCCACTTTAGAATACCCCTTGTGATATTGAAATCTTGTGCATTCTGGTTATACAGTTTTGGAGAGGTGAAAGAATGGACCCAATCTTCAACCAATTTACCATCATACTCAGTACCAATATATTGAAGGATCATCGCAAACCACTGGGGATAAGGAACATAAATGGGTCGCTTATTTCCTTTGATCACTTCAGAAAACTTGTCAAAAATAAGTTGAGCGGAATCCATGGGATTATTTTTTATGACAGAGAAAAGACTACACTGCTCAAACGTGTTCATTTAATCCAAACTCTGCGTCTTGTAAGTGAGGCACTTTCCAAGGACACCTGTGAGAAACTTCAAGGTAGTTGGAGGACACTGAGGAAGGGTATAAACATTACCATCATGATTCCTTTGTTTTGTGAGGCCATACCCTAATTTAGTAAGAACAATGTGAGATTCCTGGTCAGTAGGAAGGTCAGAGTACTCGTCATAGATTGGAAGACGTAAGGCTTTTAGAAAGTTAGTTACAGTCATTGAAATAATATGTTGCCCATCTTCGATTGTACCAATAATCATTACGGGCTCATAGTAGGTAGATGTATAGTAGAACTCGCAGATATGTTGTGGGAGAAAAGGATCAACAAGATCAATGAGAGCATAGTAGAGCGGGAACACGTCAAGATAGAACACAAAGTCTTCAAATCGCCTATCCTTGAATTCTTCATGAATTGTAGTAGAGATGGCCACATCGTTGGACATGATGACGATGGGAGAGTCTAGAGTGCTAAAGGCCTTGATAACATTTGGGGTAGGTTCATAAGTGTAGAGAGTAACAGGAAGTGCCATGGTGTTGACAATGTTTGTCTAAAAGTTAGGGTTGTTGGGATTCGGGTTCTTGATATTAGGAATAAACGAGGGATTTTTGAAGGTAAAGTGAGAGTGTAAAGTGCTTGTGATGTTGTTGGTCTTCTTTTATACCCCAAAAAGCATCGTTGAAAAGTAATCATTAGAAGAGACAAAAATACGCCGCAAATCTTACAGTTCCCAAATGAAAGTTATTATCCCCAAATTTAAAAAGTTACCATTTGAGAGTATCTTCTCTGTTAATGGAAATATTACCAAATAGGATTTCAGTGAGTAAAGATCAACAATGACAAAATAGTAGGGTGAGTGCCATCATCAATTAGGTGCAGTGGATCAGTAGGTGGGATTTTGGTGTATCACTTATTGTGTTGTTGAAATAGAGTTCATTTACACAGTGTTGCGAAGTCTCATAAGAGTATGGTTTGATATATTGAATCATTTACTACTTTTATTAGAAGAATAAATAGGTGAGAGTGGTATGATACGTGTAATATATTCCGATACGAAATATACCCATCATCATAGAGTGTCGAAATTTCATTAGTGTATGGCTTAGACAGTTAGTCATCAAAATCTTTTTAGAATAATTATAAGGTAAAAGTGGGTTGGTGCATGTAATATATCATGGTACATGATATAACCATCGGCACAGAGTGTCAAAATTTCATCAGTGTATGGCTTATACATCGAGTCAACAAAATATTGTTAGAAGAATTGTAGGGTAAGAGTGGGTTGGTGTGTGCAATATATCACAATACATGATATACCCATTGACACATAATTTTGAACTTTTGTCAATGTATGGTATTATATAGTGAATCATTAAGTTTTATAATAGAAGACTTATGGTGTAAGAAAGGTTGTTCGATGTCTCATACACTATGGTTAAACAGTGTGAATCATAAACATGGAATTTCTAACTCATCGGTAGGTAGTGGTTCAACTTCCAACGTCACGAGTTAAATATAGAGAGAAAGAATGTTAGGGGATAGTGATGTTTTAGACTTTTAGTGAATCACAGTGATAGTGAGACAAATATTTAACATAAAACAAGTGGACTTGTATCCCTGATTGACATACATTAAAGACATTAACAGTCGTGCAACCAAGAAGTGTTCAAAAATAACCAAAACAAGAAATAATTTAAAATAAGTATAAGTTACGATCTTCATTCCTGTGCAAGAATTCCAAGTTTCTACTGTAAGCTTTAAGATAGTCTGTTCGTCTAATGGCTTGGTAAGGATTTCAACAAGTTGGTCGGTAGTTGAAATGTAGAGCAACTTGATCTTTCTTTTTTTGAATATTGTCCCTGATGAAGTGATGTCGGATCTCGTTGTGCTTGGTCTTCGAGTGTTACACTGGGTTCTGGGTTATCATTACTGTATTGGTGTTGCTACAACATATCGGTGTTTTAGTTAAATTGAATCCATAATCCAGAAGCTGATTCTGGATATAGAGAATTTGTGCACAACACCTTCTAGTGGAAACATATTCGGCTTCAGCTGTTGAACATGCCGCTGACATTTTCATTTTTCTTAACCAACTAATCAATCTGTTCCTGAGAGTTTAACAACCATTATATGTACTTTTTGGATAAAGGACACAACCTACATGGTCATAATTAGTGAAACCAACTAATTCAAATGGGGAGTCTCGAGAATATCAAAGTCCCGAACTTGGAGAATGCTTCAAGTATATAAAGATGCGCTTGACAGCTTGAAGGTGTGACTCCTTTGGATTAGCCTGGTAGTGAGCACACATGCTGGTGGTGAACATTATATATGGGCGAATCGTTGTCAGGTAGAGTAGGGAGGCAATCATTCCTCAGTACATAGTTGCATTTACATTAGTTTGTTCAGCATCAAAATATATCTTCACGAAAGGGGATATGGGAGTTTTGGCCAGTTTACATTCAGTGAATGAAAATTTCTTTAACATATCTTGCACATATTTGCTTTGACAGATGAAGATGCCCTCTGGAAGTTGTTTGAGCTGTAAACCTAAGAAAAAAGTTAACTCCCCCATCATGCTCATCTTAAACTTGTGTGCCATGACTTCAACAAATTTTTTACTTATGGCTTCATCAGTGGATCCGAAAATTATGTAATCTACATACACTTGTGAAAGAATGATATGAGGCCCTGATTGCTTGATTAACAAATTATTATCAATTTCACCTCGTCGACGTCCGTTCTGAATAAGATAATTTGCCAATATATCATACCATGCCCTGGGAGCTTGTTTCAATCCATAAACTACCTTGTCTAGTATAGAAACATGATTAAGAAATTTATCACTTTTGAAACCAGGGGTTGCTTAAGAAATACTTCTTCATGGAGATCCCTATGCATAAATGCAGTCTTGACGTCCATTTGATACAATGTGAAGGTCATATAGGATGCATATGCAAGAAAGACACGGATTGATTCAAGTCTGGCTATATGGGCAAACGTTTCATCGTAGTCTAGACCTTCCAATTGAGTAAACCCATGAGCCACCAAACGTGCCTTGTTCCTTGTAAAAATTCCATCTTCATCCAACTTGTTGCGAAACACCCAACATGTACTGATGATTGTTTTATTCTCAGGAAGAGGAATAAGTGTCCATACTTCATGCCGTTCAAAATTGTTTAATTCATCTTGCATCGCCTTAATCCTATCAGGATCTTTGAGTGCTTCATTTACCTTCTTGGGCTCAAACAGTGAGACAAAATTAACAAACAAGCAAACATTGCTTGTTGCTTGTCGTCGAGTAGGTACGCCACCTGAGATATTTCTAATAATTTGGCCAGGAGGGTGACCAGAAATAGTACGTAGATTAATCAATGATGAAACAACTCCACTTGAATCCCTAGGAAGTTCTACAACGTCACCTTCAATAAGCGGAACATTAACACTTATTTCTTCAACAATAATTTTTTTGATTGGGACAATATCTTTAGAAGGGTCATATGATGATGGAGGAAGATCAGCATCAAATGAGATAACTGGTCCAGTGAGCTCGTAAACTTTGGATGGGCAACGAATGAGCTCTTCTAAAATTGAAGTTGGCTGATCAATCATATCATTTGTATAGGATTCATCATCAAACATGACATGGATCGATTATTCAATGGTCTTGGAATTGATATTGAACACCTTTTAAGCTTTAAAAAGAAACCTTCATCAACTTTTGCTTCAAACTTTGAACACAAATTGTCACACCCGGCCGTCGGCGGAAACACCGGGCAGTGTAACGTTATTTCTTGTATCATAGTTATCAACTTCCTGAAAACACATGCATTTTAAATTACGTCAACATAAAGTTGGTGAGTTTACAGGTTTTGACTCTGAGTAAAAATAATACTTTTTCCCAAGTTGGAAAAGTATATAATATAGTTTGAAGATATCATTTTGACTCATGCTTGTTTCCAACATATAGTATATATATCCTAGGTATAATAGTTTACTTACCAAATAAGTAGTATACCTATAAGTCTCATATACTATGAATATAAGTGTTTGTAATTCCATACAAACGAAGGTTGCTACGTATAAATCTTATTTCAATTCTATACGAGTAAAAACCGGTACGTATAAATCTATTTCAATTCTATACGAGTAAAACCGCTATGTATAAATCTATTTCAATTCTATACGAGTAAAACTGCTACGTATAAATCTATTTCAATTCCATACGAGTAAAACCGCTACGTATAAATCTATTTCAATTCTATACGAGTAAGACCGCTACGTATAAATCTATTTCAATTCTATACGAGTATGTGTGCTAGGTATAATTATCTACTTAATATACAAGTAGTATACCTACCAGTTTCTTGTACTTAGAGTATAAGTGTTTGGGAAACTTATACTTAACATTAATACTTGTATAACGACAAAGTATAATGCTTCTAACAATTTGCTACCATGAGTCCGTAACCGCGGCTATATGACTAGTTTCAAACCTCTGCTTGATGCTACAAGTTTCGCATCTTAAGATAAGTTCCACACGCTTCATCAACGTCGGAACAATAAACAAATAAAAGGACAGTTCGTCACTCGCAGACCGTTGGGTTGTAGCTAGCAACCACGAGTGGGGTTGTCAACCTGTATCTTATTCATACACGACTTCCTCGCTCTCACGAGATTAGCGGTTACAGGTCAGAGGATTTTCCCTAAGATTTCCAATCTTAGTTGATGAATACAATAACTCATGTAGACTTGTCGAGTTCCATTAGTTCTAGTAGTAAAAACATATTCATGTCTAAAACCCTAAGTTATTAGACTATGCTTTAAGTATTACTCCTAATATTTTATAATACTTAGGCAGTACAACAAGTATAATTAGAATTAAAACCAGGTTTTATCTTAACATAAAACCAATAATAACAACATTTAACGTTCCTAGTTTTATCTTGACATAAAACCAATAATAACAACATATAACGTTCCTAGTTTTATCTTGACATAAAACCAACAATAACAACGTACATTATCAATTAACATATAGAACTTCCGAGTATAACTCTGGAACTATATCGCACATGAAATATATATAGAATCCTAAGTATAACTCAAGATCTACATTATTATACTACTATAACAATAACATGCTAACAAGTTTACGATAGTTGTATAGATACAAAATAATTATATCCCGATTAACGAACATACTATCATATAAATATAGTATTAACTTGTATTAAATATTTAGCATGCGTTTCCCCCCGAAAATATTAGAAAGTGGGGTCGTGAAACTCACCTTAGTAGCGTGATTTTATGTAATCTAAGCAGAAACGGTCAGCGGTACGAGGTCGTCGGGCTCGAGATGCAAGAGGGCTTCAGCATATGAGAGAGAGAGAGAGAGAGAGAGAAGAAATTCAGGTGTAAGGAAAGAGAAGGCCGGACTTGCTATTTATAGGAAGATTTTTGGCCCTCACGACGTGAGAAACTCCTTTTTCACGTCGTGAGTTTGGAACTTATCTCTTCGTAGACTTGCCA